TCCCAGGCCTCTTCCTCCAAGCAGAGTTTTGATCTTCCCAGCCATCCTGATTGAGGCTTTCTGTGGGGTTGTGACTGTCCCCCACTAATGTGGTGCACACTTACTTAGTTGACATGTTCTTAGCTGAAGGGCAAACAAGAACAAGCAATTTGTTAAGAATAATAGTCTTTCTTGGTTGTTCTGTTCAATTAATTTCATTGTTTATTTGAGCTGAGTTTTCCCTATGACATTATAATTCCCTAAAATGTCTAACTCCAAAATGCAGCACCCACATAAACAAATATAGCTGTGTTTCTTTGCGATAGATGTTAATTTATGATGCTTATATAGAAAACCCATCTTAAATTGCAAAGAAATTAGTATAGTGAAGCCTATTTTGCATCCCAGGAAGAAGACAACTCATATTACAAATACACAGTAAGTTAAATGAGTAGAGCATCAATAATCCAAATGCTTTGAAACAATGTTAGTATTAATGTTGATATACATTGCTGCAGTGTAGCCGTGACTAGTAGAAGGACACATTCTTTGGGCTCAATATTAATGATTTTTTCTTTCATGGAAAAGGGATAATTATGCACGAGGAWAAACTGAATGATCTGGCAGTACAATCACATTGTGCACTTGTGGAGCTTCATATATATGTGTTCAGCTGGAGAGCTGCTTTAGAACTGACATTTGTCCTCAGACAGAGTGTTCTGCTTCTTAGGCCATCTGTTCCCTACTTGCCTTACAATAGCAATTCTCTAGACATGCTTACTAGGAACATTTCATGTTTGACAAAATGGCATTTTCCAGCACAGAAACAAATCAGAGAAATTTCTACACCCTTGAACTATTTTATGTTGGGATAAGGGACAATGTCAGATATATGCCCCCCATTACTTTTTCCTTTCATGACCATTTCTTGTTTCTCCCATAATCTCCTCCTCTTGCTTTGTCCATGAGTCCTCCTTTATTCCTCTTAACTCTCATCTTCCTTTTTCTGCTTTTCCTGTTTTCATGCGTCACTGGCATCAAATCCCTTTCTTCTTCATTTTGTCACTTCTTCTCAAGATTCTGAGTTGTCCTGGAGACTCTGCAGTTGCTGYGCTTCATCTGCTCTAATCGAGAGCTTCTAAGGACAGGTCGTAGGTTGACTACCTCATCAGAGCTACAAGCAATGACTCACTTTTGTTCTTTGACCATCATGGTTTATAGTGGTTYGGCTCCTGGTTTGGATTTTCTGCTAAATCCGGAAGCTGATGGAAGGCAAGAGGAACCATATACAAGTTACAGAGGTTGATATAAGAATCTGGAAAAGCAGAGAATTTGTTGTGCAGGTCTCTTAGGATTTTATTTAAACAACAAAACATGTATAAAACATCAAATGAGTCAAGGCATTACAATAGTCCCAAGGATATGCCTAGGATATTGGTTACTTATTCTCTGTAACTAAATCACCTGAATGAGAAATTATATTTATTCCTTACCTAAAGAAAACAAGTTACTCTTGAATCCCTATGCCTCACATCCAGATTTTTATTTTCACCTAAAATAAAATTTGCCTGCACTCAGGTTTAAAACGACTTAGAGATTTTGCTTAAATATTTTCTTGTTAAATTCCGCAAAGACAATGTCAAATATCAGGGGACTCTGAGAGGGCTGCATTGTAGGAAAACCAAAGTCATGTAAAAAAAAAGGGAGAATAATGGACTTTTGTTTACAACTTCAAATGTGCAGGAATGTATCATAAAATATGGTTATGTGCATGCCTTCTGCAAGTGATCTCTGGTGGTCACCAGCAAACAAGAATGTAAAAYGTAAGTGGAAATGAAAGCCTTTTATTTAGAAATCTGTTAGCTGCACTCTGAAAAGAGAAGCCATCTTCTTAAAGCTGGGCCTCCCATGGTAATTACAGCTGTGCTTTACTGAGAGTGTATTTTGTGGACGCTGCATGTGGAGTGATAGCACTTCTCAAAAAGCAAAAGCTTGAAGAGCTCCCATATGTTTCCGATTGAATTTTAAGTCTAGACTTGCTTTATTTAGTTTCTTTGCTCAGAGTTTGCCTAGCTACGTTTTTTAGGAGTTTTCTTAAAACTGAAAAAAAAAAAAMAAAAAAAAAAACAGGGTGTGCTGCTTAGGTTAAAAATAAATGTAAACCTTTTCCTTTTTAAAACGGATTTTGGTGGGGGGAAGGAGTTACCCTGCGCTCAAAACCCCACTGAGTTCTTCAAAGGAGGAGCCTCTGCAGCAACATCAGGGAGTTATTAAATACATACTTAGTCCACAATTTTCATTGGTAAATTCTTTATGTCTGCTTAATGTGTGCTAGTTAGAAGAACTGATTCTTTCTGCAGACTCGTTTACTCAACCCTGGGGACCTATGATCCCCTGCCCCTTTAGCACTAGCTTTTGCAAACACTGTTTCTCCTTTTTTTTTTACAAAAAAATGCGCTCAGCAGACCGTTAAAGGGGCCAGGCTGCAGGACGCRGCCCCCAAAACTTGGAAACGCAGTTGTTTGAGACAATAACCAAATAGGAATTACTGCAGAAATGGCATTTTTATAAGCAGGAGCTTTCTATGAATCTGGAGCGGCCTTTTGCAGCCTGGGACTCGCTAAGGCCCCGCGCCCCCTCCCAGGCGCAGGGAATCGCAGCCCGATAAAGCAGGCAACCGCGGTCCCCGCTGTCTCTGCCGGTATCATCTCTTGGCCGCAGACTAAACATTTACTTGGGCTGAGTCCCATATTTCCCGCCCGCCACGCAGCGAGTGCGGCGCGCAGCGCTGGGGGAGGTTGTTTTTCTCCTCGCGCCATGTCCCGCCGCGGCCTGGGGCTCCCCCTGCCGCTCCGGCTCTCCGGGTGGCCGCCATTCCAGGGGCTGGCGAGCGCCTTTACGTAACCTTCGTGGCGCTTCCCCGGCTCGCCTTGCTTCGGAAGGGGAAGAGAAAAGAAATAAAGGAGGAGCTGGCCTCTCTTCCTGACCCGTCTTGCTGTATTTACTGTCGTGTGGAGCTACGACCTTCCCACGAGGCGCTTAGCGGAGGGCCTAGAGCTCCGCTAAGAGCCCATCTCTCACGTGCCTTCATTTCCCAAATGTGAGGCAGGAAGGATGAGGCCAGGCAGGCTGTGTTTGTGGTGACCAGATCCAGGTCACCTCAGGACCAGCTAGAGGGTTTGATCTGGGAATCGGTGCGAGCTTTGCTTTGGGTTACCTGGTGCCTGGCATCCTGCCCCTCTGGTTGGGGTGCCCAGAGCCGTATGTGAACAACAGAGTCCAAATCCATTTGGACTCGTTCTCCCAAGGGGAAAAAAAGAAGTTAAGAAGGCAGCGGGTTGCATCGCCGTGGCCYTTCTAGCAGGGCCCAGCTGCCCCTCCTGTGGGCAGCACGGCTGTGGTGGTGGCACTGCCACCCAGTCCTCGCTGGCCATTTGACTAAGTTATATTGTTTGAAGCCATCGCGCTGCATTCAACCCTGGTCTTAAAATACAAGGCGGGACTTGGATCTTCTCAATCCGRTATGAAGACAGCTGTATGCATTTTCCCTTGTTTGTAAATTGTACACACATGCTGTTTGCAGTGAGCACCAAACAATGCAATGTGAGGCATTTTGACAGAGGCATAATTCAGTGTAACCCAGCAGAAATGCAGAGCCTTAGAAGTGGTCCTTTATGAAACTGCAAATTTTGGAAATGGGGCCAGAAGACCTACACTGGAGCAGCACAAGAAACAATAGTTAACACAGCGACATTTTTCCTGTAAGAAAAATACACCAGGAAGAAATTAGAATTCACTCTTTTGTTTTTTTTTTTAAGCTTGTTGCTTTACATGAACACTTTGGTTGGCATGCTTTGTATTTGTGGCATAGTAGGGATTAAAATTCCCATTTCTTCACCAAAGGAGAATATTGATGTACAAGATACTTGTGGCACCAAACAAGCTTTTTTTTTTTTCCTTCAAGTATAAATTTGCCTCATACATTATGTTCTGGTTCMAAGAAGATTTGCACATTGTGAAGTATCTAAAGGCAGGAGAGGAACATTCAGTGCAGGCTTTGCTCAGTTTGTGGTAGCCCAGGTGGAAGGGAGTATTTACAATGTAATCCTTCTAACTACACTGCCTGGGTTATCYCTGCCCAGCATTGAAGCAGTCCATGCAGGAGTACCCAAAATACATGCAAAAAATGTAGGGGACAGGCGGGCAGCAAGCAGAGGAAATCTGTGAGGAAATCGAACGCAGGTGGCCTGTCATCCTTGGGCAAAGAGGGGATGTGAGGTGTGGACTCAGCTTGGGCTGCACCGGGAATATGCTTAAGCAGCTRCTGTCTAATTCGTGTGCTGATGCAGCTCAAATGGAAATGGAGGGTTTTGCAGGGCACAGGAGCCGAGGCTGAACCAGCCGTTCGAAAGAAGGGGTAAGGTCCCCTGAGCCCTCCCAAGGAACCTGGGATTGTCTTGACAGTTACTGACGTTGCAAGATGAACRTGTTAGTGGATAAATCCAGAATCACATCAGCTGGCGTTTTGAAAAGTGGTCATTGCTATTTGGCACAAATGCATTCATGTGGCACAGGTCCTGTTGGACCAACTGTTGCAAGAAATGGCAGGTTTTCTGCTGCGGCTAAAAGCACCTGAAGTTGCTCCAGGCTGTCTCCCAGATTCCCAATGGGTTCTCTCTAAGACTCTAAGGCCCCTCTATGGCTGCCCAGGTCGAGAGTGACACTGGGGAAAATGGGAATAATGACCATCCACTGATTATTTTTATGGCACAAAAGATAATGGTGTTCACAGAATAYGCAGACTTGACCAAAAGGAACAGCTTTCTGGTACATGATAAGTAAGGTAAAAGTTGCAGAAATCTTTTACCTTCTTCCATGTTGTGGATGCTTAGGACCTACACATTTTAGTGTAAATGAACATAAGAATATAATGTTTAGGTGCATGTGCATGTTCACATAGTTGTAGCTAAAGGTCCATTCTCGGTGTTGCTGCTTAATGTTTCTTCTTTCTTTCTCTCCAGTCGAAGACCACCCCCTTCACCTACTCGGCCCACTGTAATCCGTCCATTAGATTCGTCCCTATTAGACTAAACGAAGTTTCTGGCATGCCATTCGTTGTTAACCCAATCTGTGGAAGCAAATTGCTTGATAACTGTTGCAATAACCAATGTATAGTGGCATGTATGGACATCTATAGGCAAGTAACCAGTTTTACTGATATTCTCTCTGTCCATTCTGCATTGCTTGTGGGTCTTACATGTTTAGGAAGCTCTGTGCTGCCTTGACTCTTCCTTGTGCCGTAGCTGACGCTAACTTACTGACAGACGTGTTCACCCAGGCAGCTGTGCTCACAATCCTATCCAAACGAACGATTGCGTTCGTGTGTGTGTGCACGTGTTGTCTGAGTCTGCTGCTCTTTTTGTGTCTGAATGGCTCCTTGCTTTTATATGTAATTTTTAGATCTGTAAGGCATATCACCTGAAGTTTTCTGTCATTTGGAATTAGAGGGTTCTGCCTGTTTTCTTCTTTAATGGCTAAACCAGGCTGAGAAAAGCAGTGTTGTTGTTCATGCAAATTCCTGGCTGGCCGAACACTTCCATGTCCCTCTTGCAAGCCTCCTGGATGGTTGCTTTTCCCGTAGTTCTTCTCATCAGAAACCTAGTTTATAAAGAATGTCATTAAACAAGAAGGGTGTGTTTGGTACAATCCATGTTTTACAAAATTCTTCTTTCCACATTGGTGACTGACATCCAGAGTTGGCTGGGGGATCAGCAAGGACCGGCTTGCAGTACCCTGGCTTGCACTAGCTCTGCCAAAGGGCAAACGTGGAAGGGCCAGCAGGTAACTTGGAAGCCTCAGAGCGGAGCTGCTGCAGCCTGCAGCAGCCTGTGACAAATACATCCTGCACGTGAGGAACATGCCAGGCCAGCACGTGCCAACTTGCTTTGTCCTCCAGTAGCACTTGCCCATATGAGCAACYCCCCTGAACTCATTGGAAGCACTATGTGTGTGTGGGTGAGGGTAATATGTCTAATTATGCTGCCTGGAAGGCTGAGTGCTCCATGGCCATTGTGTGAGCCAGTCAACAGGGCTACGGCCTGTGTTTGGATCCGAGCTCTCCAAGGAACCAGGTTTGCAAATTGTAGATTAGCGCATCTGAAAAAAAAAAAAACTTTATCACTTAATTTTAAACACTTAGGTTTAGTGTCATCCTTGAGGCTTAAAACTTAAATCAATAGAACTATACCAAAGACTAATTTGGCCGTGTGACTTCAGGAAATATTAATTGTTGTTACTAGAGTTTCAGTTACAGATCYCTAGGCAAAACCTTTGGTGGTTTCAAAGGCCACAAGTACAACCATCTAATAAATCAATTTATGGAGACTGCTTGTAGGGCGACAGTACRTTGTATCTCCGTGGTTAGGAAGAATCTAGTCCAAGAGCCACAACCAGTGGAGATTTTCCCTGTTAATTAGCCTCAGGCTGCTGATTAAATAACAGTTATGTTATTTACAGAAACAAATCATATTTCTGCTTACATGAGAGGTGAGCTTAGAAAAGCACCRTGATGTGTAGGTTAACTTTTAATTTCCTGTCACACAATACTTGTGACACATGCCTGGGGATCCTGGATGTCAGTATTTGAAGGGCACTGAATTTCTCAGTACATTGGCAGCTTCGTGGCCTCAGCAAGTGGCTGAAATGGCCAGTGTTTGTCTAGAGAACAGGACCAAATCTTCAAGTGCAGAAAGTCAGCTTACAAGGGAAAAAAGGGTGTAACCCCAACTGCACTGCATTGGTTTCTACTACAGAAAAAGTGAGAACATATTTTGATATTTTTCTTCTGTTTTCCACTCTGTAGTGCTCTCTTCTGTAACATACAATGCATCTGTTAGCTGCGTATAAAAACACACCTATAGTAGTCCATATTATTGCCTAGCCAGAAAACCTGTACATAGATTATCAACTAATTCCTGAGCTGGCAGCTGTCTTCTCTCAGAAGGCCACGCTTAGCACCTATCCAGCCTCAGCCAGTGAGAGTTACCATTTTAACCCCAAATCTCCATCTTCACCCCCTCCATCCCTAAGTGCTAGAGTAAAACATCAGCTGTCCAAGGTCTCCTTTGCTCAGTGGGAAAAGGCAGCACCTCCACCAAGTGATTCAGGCTGGTGTGACTGCATAGGACACCAGCATGGGAATGCAGGTACTTAGGAGTCTCAAACACATGGCATAATTCTTGATCTGAAAATGTTTAATTTACACACTTGAGGCTCCTTAATTTACATTCCTTACGGTTTCTGTCAAGCTTAAGGAAATACATAGTTATCGCAATTCAGTGCTACCCTTCACTCAGCCCCACAAGAAATTATAATTCTCCGTGGCAGTCTTGGGTTATAAATGAAACTCTCAGGCACAGAGTCACCAGAAAGGGGAGGAAGCTGTGGGGTCTGTAGCCCCGGTGTTAGCACCATCTGGCTCTGCACTCCTGGGGCCATGGGGCACCACGTGCAGCTGCACAGCCCTTCCTTCTTCTGCACCCCATTCACATTACACCTGCACCTGGCCCTGCAACGCACCACTTCTGGGTGGATAGGCAAGTTCAGTTATGCAGCAGGAGCTTTCTGAGTTTACATGAGACTTGTATTAGCTGGACGATATGTGTAGCTACGTTTCAGGAGGGTGCTCCTGGTACTGCATTTAGATGGAGACTTGATCTCTGCTTAAGGAACAGGTTTCCTCTCATCCCATTGCAGATGACCAACGGCTGAAGAGCTCTCCTGTGCCCTAAAAACAGCTCTCAGTCTTGAATCTCAAGGGATCTTGTGTTGGAATTRAAAAGATTGTATGTTCAATGAAAAGGTGTATTGTAAATAGTTGATATGTGTTTATTTTGTTGCTGATCTTACTGCACTTTCTGAGTAAGTCTCATAAAAGGAGATATTTATTGTATTAAAAGAGACACGTTATAGGTTATGGCATTTTGTGTTAATGTGTAACATAGAAAATATTGTACTCTATATTGCTAACAGCTACACTAGACGATGTGTATACAGCATATTGAGATTACCGGCTAGCTCTGTCTGTYTTAAACTAGTCCTGAATTCAGAGCAGAGCTATTCTGCACACGCGGTGCCCTTGGCCTTCCCCRGCCTCCAGCAGGACAGCTCCGTGTGTCGCTGAACGTTACTGTGCCCCTCTTTCCTCTTGCTTTGTCTGCAGGCGAGCTGATACCGACGGCTCCTCGCGTCCCGGCAGCCCTTCGCTCTTGCTTGATATATGATTTGTGCCGTCTCGAGAGCCGCTTGTTCACTTCCCGTTTCTTTGCTTTTCCACAACGGTGTAAGCGATGTCTTCTTTTCGTAAGAAGCTAATGCCTAATTTCTTTCTGAATTTTGCTCTGTGTGTTAATGCCCTATTTCGTAACAGCCCAAACATCTGCTGTTGGCTTCATAGTCTGTAAATGGTTCCTGGTGTTGGCCTTGGAGCACAGCGAGTCATTGGTCATTACCAAGCGTTGCATCCCGCTGTAAAAATGTTATGCTGCATTTCTGAACCTGAAATAAACTGTAACTCTTGACGGGCTTTTATTATTGCTTTCTGGATACGCAGGAGCGGTCTTCACCATAGTCTCAGCGTGCTGCACTCCATCTATCTCCTTGGGCTGCAGTAAGGATTCACCAGAGAGACCCAGGTCTTAGCACTAGAGATACCACTTAAGTGTACGGGGAGATGGGAGGGAAGTGACCATGGAAAGTGTTCAGCTTGATACCCTGTTAGGGGCTTGGAAAGCTGCAGAGATGTTCTGCTGGGAAATGGGTAAGTGCTTTGTCAGGCAGTATCAGGTGTTTCTTTCACCATTGGGGAAGACGTGTTTGGGGAGATGAGGAGCTGAGCAGAGGTCCCGGCGAGTCCTCAAGAGCAGAAGATGGAGTGAAGTTGTGCCTGTGCGTGTGCTCCGTCCCGAAGGAATTTCTCCCTGCAGTGATGGAGCACAAGCATGCAGATGCCTCCAAGTGTCTCCGCTGCTCAATTCCTCCCTCGCATTAGTAAGAGCCAAGTCACTGGAATCGGTGCTTGGAAGAGCAGGAATGGTCCCTTACTGCACAGCAAGTAGGAAACGCACAGCAGCTCCCTCGCCAAGGGAGGAATTCCCCCCTGAGCACAGCAGTCCCTGTGCTGGGCTCTAGGTAGTGCGGAAAGAGAGGGGAGCGCAACACAGGATGCGCAAGCAGCAACCGCCCCTTGCACTGGCAGCAAGTTTGCTGCTAACACGAGCGAGCGAGCATTGGGGTTTCTTGTTTTCTTGATGAGCCTTTAGTGCATATCCCTGGGGCAGTGTCTGCACTCACTCTCAGTAGACAGGGGTGTCACACGCTGGCCTGGCTGCCTGGAGTGCATTAAATAGCCCTGGGTGAGTGTTCCCCTGTGCTTGGCCAGCTAATCTGTCAGTGTTGTCTGCTGGATACTGGAAGGAGCAGCCGCTCATCTCTGACCGCTCTGCGAAGTCCCTGGCTGCCAAGGGTCCTTCCTGCTCATTTTGGCAGCAGATTCATTGCACTGCCATCACCCAAGCTTTTAGCCTTCCTCAGCAACGTCCCCTCCAAGCATTGGCAACTTGACACAGAGATCCTCTTGCCTGGTCGCTCCTTGAATCCATCAGAATCTCACTTAATGGTCTGCTCCAAGAACGATGCTTGAGACAAACCGTGCTGCAGGTTTCAAGGCTGCCTGGGGGAAAGCTCTCCTGGCGCCTGTTACTTTCTGCAAGGAAAGTAGAAAGTTTCTGACCGCCGATGTCGACACTGGTGACGTGGTTGCCCTGGCTCTGTGGCGCCGGCCGGTCAGGTGGGAAGCGGCGAGGACGAACACGGAGGCTGTGCTGCCAGCCAGCTGCTCCTCATCTCCTTCTTGCTCTGTTCTTCCCTCTGCATGTTCTGTGCCTCTTTTCTCTTAACAAATCTTACCATTTTGCATACGAGCCATGTTGTTATATCTTAACCTCCTGATTTAATTCTCTTCACCTCCCTCCCCATGGATTTTGGGTTATTTTTTGTTTCTTTTTTTTTCCCTAGGCGACCTCCTCCAGCTGTTCCAGGAAGATCATCCTAACATACACATTTCATTTCCCTTGTGTTACATGCAATGTGTTGTCTTTTGGGCCAGAATTATCTTTAATTTGCACTACACTTTGTAAATAAAGATTTTATTTTCAGATATCAATGAGAAGCTTGGTGATAAATAAAAGAAAATGCTTTTCCATTGCAGGCTCCACCTACTCTTTCTTAAATGGAGCCATTAACACCCCATGAAAGTAATTGCCTGGGTCCTGCTGAAATTGTGGCCATCTGTAGRGAGGGAGGGACGTGCTGCTGGGGTCCCACCACAGCTTCAGAATTTGTTATCCATTAGGTTTGCTCAGGAGAAGGGGCTTTGGCTTAACACTACCAGGAGGAAGAGTAGCCAGTGACTTTAGCAACAGAGACATGAAGAGACTCTCTGAAGAGAGGCTAATACTCCAGTGGAGTGGAAGGTCCAAGGGGAAGATTGTAGCCATCTCTCCACTGATGAATCTGCACAATTAGAAGCTGGAGCTGCTGCGGCTGTTTCTGTAGCTGAACCACTGAATTCTCTGTGACTGAACCTTGTTGGAGCATCTGAGCTTAAGTAACTGTAAGTAGCTACCTCTGAGATTGCAGATGTCCCCGTGGCATCCCAATGAAACACTGTGGCACTTGAGGGTCAGAAAAAAAAATGGGTGCTGGAGAACTTTATATAAAAGGAGGGAGCCCCAAGGAGTTCATCTAAACAATGTTATCATTTTTATCTCATGTTTAAAGAAGGAAGGGGTATCTCAAGCTGTTCAGATAAATTARGGGGAATTTGTGCGGGTGTGAAATGGAGGTGCACTGTGGCCTGTGTTCTGTGGATAGGTGGAAGAGGCTGAGGGTGCCATGCACCAGTTGGTGGCATTAGGCACCCTAGACCACTTGACAACGCATGTGTCAGGACAACCTCCCTAATTTTTGTTTCCTCAGCATTCACGTTGTTGCTCCCACGTCACCAAGAGAAGGTCAGTGATTAGTGTGTGAAGGGGGGAGACCAAAAGATGCTGCTCAGAACCTACAGCGTTGCCTCCTTCCCAGGTGCCGTCTCCTGCACAGGAGAGAGCCTGTTGTCACTGTGGTGGTGGCTGACACTCGCCTTTCCCTGCTGCACACTCCCTACATGGAGATTCCAGATAGCACGTGTCAGTAATTCCTGGGAGCAGCAACATTTATCCCCAGCCAGCTTAGAACTACTGAAACTTGGGCTAGATTCAAGTTGAAAGGAAGTGTCCCCTTGAAGTTCTGTATCCCTGTGGATTTGGGAAACCCCAACTTAAAGAAGCTGCACCTGCTTTGTAATGCAGAGTAACATTTAATAGTTTCCAGTTGGCTGATAACATTTCAGTTSCATATAAACCAAGGACAATTCAGTTACAGATAAACCAAGGACTCATATTTTTGTTTGGCCTCCTCACGTGTGTCTCATGTCTGTCTCCTCAGACAGTGAATGCTTAAAGCAGTTTCTCTGCTGAGAGGTCACTACCCCTCTTACAYAGGGGTCACTGAGTTGAGCGCAGATTAAGACCAAGTTTGCTCACATATATTCTTGTCTGCAGKGTCTGACTTGTAGCCTTGCCTGGGGCAGCAACACTGATTCTCTCTGCCTGTCCTTGTTCCTATAGCCCCCTTACGTCCCAGAGCCATGTTAGTTTATGACTATTTCTACTTGATTTCATGGGTGTGTATTTGATGTTTGCACTTTCCCTGTCTCAGGGGGATTGCTGACAATCTGGACTTGGGAAGAATGTTTTTGAGGAAATATTTCTCCCTGGGGATGGGGTAGAGAGCCTGACAGCTTGGTGCTCAGGTGGCAGCCYGGCAGCCTTGAGGCCTTGCAGGCAGTGCCTGGTGTGATCCCTTCTCACCTAGAAGGGACGAGATGTGGAAAAAACGTCCCTGCTCCACCAACGTGGAGCGCTCCCAAARGCTTCCCAAGCGGAGTGGGGCTTTAGCCTGAATGAGATGGGCTATTCCAGTTCTTGGCAGCAGAATGACTCCCTTGGAAGCTTCTTTGGGAAGAAGCTCAATTCTCTCTCAGGAGAATTGAAAAAACTCCCCCTGGCATCTCCTTCCTTGGGAAGGGAGGGTCTAATCTGCAGGATGGTGCATGGCCTAGTACCGGGACAGAGCTGCCTAGATCCTCCATGGTGCAAGTGATGAGTAATAGGCATTTGTTAGCAAAACCTGGACTGATGCTGCTACATGTTGTGTGCAACTYGGGGACAGAGGGCTGGTTTGCCCGGGGAAGGTTTCTCTGGGTGGCATGAGACCAGAGGTCTTCTTGGAAGCCCCCAGTGAATGCGAGCGCTGTCACTTGGAGCACAGCTCCTTTCTGGCAGTATCTGAGCTTGTCTGATTCCCCTCTTGGAGGGGATTCCCATTCTTGATTCCCCTTCTTGGAGGACTGTTCCCCGTGTCCATGTACCTGCAGAGCCAGGACTACAATCTCTCGCAGACGGGCGCTTTAGRCTCACAAAGACACGGGTGTGCCGCAGGTTCCTGTGATGAACACACAGGGCACAGAGGGTTTCTGTGGCTGTCACCTCATCAGGGGCAGAGGGAACAACTCTGCTCCCATCGGCACTGTGCCACCGGGATGCCTGCGCTCGCGGAGCTGGACACCGAGGCTGCTTATCTGTCTCTGCAGCTGGTGCCAGCACTGGGGATGCAGTGGCCRAAGGCCCTGGGGATCCACCTCTGGGATCCACCGGAGTGGCTGTGGGCACCTCAGGCCTCGGAGTTCCCTCTCGTCCGCAGCTGCTGCGGGRTCAGTCCCCGTCAGGCCCCTGCTCCCTGCTGGGTGCTGCAGCACAGGGCAGGGCTGCTGCGGGACGCTCCTCCCGTGCCAGGAATGCAAAACGCGGGCATGTTCATGTTCATGTCCGGCCGGGCTTGTCCGGCCCGCGCGGCAGCGCGACTCGCTGGCCGGCAGCGCCCTCTGTTGCGGCGCGAGCCGGGGCTGGACGGAGCTCAGCCTCCAGCAGGGAACCCGGCAAGCGAGGGAGCTGCCTCCCATCCTCGCCATCCCTTCTCCCGAGGGATTCGGGGTTGCGCGATGTTTGGCGGCGCTGCAAGGCTCCTGCTGTCTGAGTCGGTCTGAGTGGGACKTGCCAGAGAGCAGCAGAGCAGCACCCTGCATCCCCGGCCTTCCTGCCGCCTCCGCAGCTGCCTTCGGAGGTCGTGAGGGCCCGGCCTCCTTGCAGGGCACTTGGCCTCTCCTACCCCCTTTCCGGGGCTGCAGTGACCCTCGCCTGTCAGCCCCGTCTCCTCTCTTGTCCAYGACCCCACCAGCCCTGGCCCCTGGTGGGATGCGAGAAGCTTGGGCTGTTCTCCAAGCYGGCAAAACTCCTATCTGTCAGGTGCAGGAACACAGGCTGCAAGTAGTAGTGCTTATTTAAGCACCGACTATTACAGAGCAGATGAACCAGGAGCCTCTCTGTGCCCAGGATTGCTGCCACAGGGCCTGACCTAGTATTCCTAAAGGGAACACATGAAACGTGCCACTATTTCTGTGCCAGAGGCTTTATTGGGGAAGGCGTTCAGTGCTTCAGGGACTGTCTCTTAGAAAGGATCCTCTGTATTGCTCATAGCCAAGGGTCCCTTTCCCCCTCCCTCTTAGAGTTAGGCCTACATGAGGAACCTGGAGAGATCCTCCTTGATCTCGGCCTCATCCCATGGCCCGTGAATATTGTCCTTGAACAGCTGGAGCCGGATGAGGCAGTAGGGACAGAGGCAGGAGATGGACAGCAGCAGCAAGGCGAAGAGAACGGCGCCCACGCTGGAAATGCTCGTGAGCCCTGCAAGCGCTGCGAGCGCAAAGAGCACGGTGACCGCCACGTAGCACCGGGGCGCCTGGGCTTTCAGCTTCTTCTGCAGCATGGGCCAGAGGGCGAAGATCTGCATGGCGAAGGTGACCGTGACAAAGGCGTGGAGGGAGCGAGGCAGGCGGGAYGCCAAGCACACAGAGGCAAAGATGGCCATATTGAGGGACAGCGTGCTGGAGACGATGGCAGCGTTAGCGCCGTAGTCGAAGAAGATGAGGTGGCCCAAGAGCATGAAGGCCGACATGGCATAGATGGTGTCCGTGCTGATCGACTCCGTCAGCGTCTTGAGCACGGGTGAAAAGCCATAGGTGAAGGCAATGAACACGACCGTGCTCTTGAGGTCTGCCCACCACGTCCGCCYGCTCTTCTGCCTCCCGACGCCGGCATCGATGACGTGGAACAGGACGTAGCCAAGCAGGGAAGAGGCCAGGCCTGCCCCAAAGAGCCCGTGCGGGCTCAGCATGCCCGCGTCCATGTACCACCAGGTGACGACGAAGAYGCACACGCTGCACAGCTGCTGCGCCACAGCCCCCGACTCAAACACCACAGCCCAGTACTGGTACTGCCGGGCATGGATGTTCTTGCGGAGCTCCTCCAGGAACCGCTGGTCCACATAGTTATCCGGGAAGGGCTGGCGCTTGTACAGCACCTTCTGCCAGCGCCTCCTGGGGCTCCTCTCCAGCTGGGCGCCGACTGTTCTTCCACCCGGGCTCGGTCTGAGCGCCTCTGCGTGCGCCTGCGAGCGGAGCAGGTGGGACACAGGGCTCCTGGGGACACCCAGCGCGGCGGCTTCTCCAGCTCCTGCTCCGGCTGGCGCCTCCTCYGGAGAGCGAGCCGCGGCGCCGCGCTCCTAGGAAGAGACAGCTCCTGGGTCACCCCGCCCGTCCGCGGCCGCGCCGCTGCCGTGGCCGAGGCCGGGGCAGGGGGCGGGAGGCGGCGGCTCGGGGGGCAGGGCAGCTCCCGG